GTTGAATAAGAAAAAGAGTTACAGAAAAATATATATGGTATGTTTTTTTATTTGTCAAAGTAAAAATTGGAACCTCTGTTTATATGTGTTTCTATAACTATTGGAAAAAGAATGAAGAGAAACATCAATCTTTTAACATGGGTTTTACCTAGGATTGGTATGGGGAGCAGAAAATGGTATTTTTCTTTATGTACTTATGAATGTTTTATATACTTCTGTGTTGAATATATAAAATGAATGCTTATTACCTTTTAAAAAAATGAATAGAAAGTGAAATGAGGAAGCAGTCTTAAAATGTAAACTATTTTTGATTTGGCAAGAGGAGAGATAAATTAGTCTCCAGTAAAGAATAGATTAAAAAAACATTGAAAACAGCATAACCCATGGAGCAGGCCTGGAGGGGAAGGAGGGGACCTGTTTCAGACAGAGTCCCAAATGCACCAGATAGCGTCACTGTTCCACAGGAAAATGCAAATAAACAGAGTAGTGCACAGAACTTAGTATTTGGTGTTGCAAAGGCATTCTTTTATGACAGCAGTTCTCAACCTGTGGGTCACGACCCCTTTGGGGGTCAAACGACCCTTTCACAGGGGTTGCCTAAATACAACCTGCATATCAGATATTTACATTACGATTCATAATAGTAGCAAAATTACAGTTATGAAGTATAACGAAAATAATTTTATGGTTGGGGGGTCACCACAACATGAGGAACTGTATTAAAGGGTTGCGGCATTAGGAAGGTTGAGAACCACTGTTTTGTGAAATCATGGTGATAAGAGATGGGAGGATTGTAAAATGTATACTATTATTTGTCAAGGTTAAAAAAGCTAGCAGCCCTATGTCAGTTCCCAAACAGCTGGAAATGTTATCGGTCTATAAATCCCAAATCTGGAAGAAACAGACTTACAGCACAAGTAGAAAGAAAGTTAAGCCTTAGTGAGAGGAGAGTTCGTTCTTCCTGTGTGAGGGAGGAAAACAAGTGTGTGGATACAGACAACTATCTACAGACTTTGCAGGTATAGGGAAAGAAGTTGAGGAAATTATTTCCTCTAAAGACTGTGTGCTAAGATCTTATGCTGGGTTGAGGGTTGAAGGGCTCAACAGGCGTGATTGACAGGTTGAGATGTGAGGGGAGTGGTAAAAATGTGAAAGAGGTGCTATGGGGATTGGGAGACCAATCTGAGAGAAACTGGAATTTTCAAATGTGAAATAATACCTGACTATGCAATTGACTCTTGAACAACTCAGGGGTTAGAGGCGCCACCCCCTCTCCTAGTAATTGAAAACTTGTATATAAGTTTTGACTCCCCCAAAACTTAACTACTATTAGCCTACTGTTGACCTGAAGCTTTACCCCAATAATATAAACAGCCAATTTTTTAAACATATATTTTTATGTTTATATGTATTATATACTGTCTTCTTACAATAAAGTAAGCTAGAGAAAAGAAAAATATTAAGAAAATCGTAAGGAAAATACATTGATAGTACTGTACATATCTACAATAATAAAAGAGAAAGATGCAAATTGACCATACCTTCACAATACCCACCAGTCAGGAGTGAGTATAAAAATTAACCCAACAAACATGGCAGGTTAATTTGCATATGCAGCCGCTCCGGGCCTCTGGGCAGTGTGGGAAGGTGGAAAGCTGGCTCTGGCCAGAGCAAAGGTGGTGCCGGCAGCCAGGGGAAGGAAGGCCCATTCTTGCACGAATCTTTGTGCATAGGGCCTCTAGTGTTGATAATAAAGATCTGTGTATAAATGGACCCATGTAGTTCAAATCGGTGTTGTTCAAGGATACACTGTATTTTGTTCAGATTTGCTTTTATTAAATTGTCTTTGGTCCTTTTTATAGTATCTCCCTCATTTGACATCCCCTACCTCACTCAACACTTTGTTTTTATTACTTTTATAACATTTATATCATCCTTAGTTTGCTTTTAGACTTGTCTTATCTACTAAACTGTCTTTGAAACAATATTCATTCACCTATAATCATTTCACAGTACCTCCCAGATTGTAGACGCCCAACTGATTGTTGCTGAAATAAATTTAATTACACAAACAACTGGATAATCAGTATAATCCTGATTAAAATTCTTCACAGTTGTGAAAACAGAAACCACTGGCTTTTAAAAATTCCTGTAAATTAACTTTTCCTAATAGCATGCATTTTTCATTCCTTACTAAGATATTGTATATTTGGTTAGGTTTTGCTTAAACTGAATTCATACGCTTCTGTTATAAAAGTGCAACAAAGATCATTAAAATAAAAACGTCTATTGTAATAGATATGGAAACTCAGGAACAGAAAAATTAGGTGATTTGTTTCAAAACTGCAAAGGTCTTAAATGACAGAGTCCATATTTGTTTCCCACTTAATCTAATGTCTTTATACCTTGACTAGAGGCTTGGTGCATGCATTCATGCATGGGTGGGGTCCCTCAGCCTGGCCAATCAGGGCTGAGGGAGGTTGGCCAGGGGAGAGGGGCCCGAGGGAGGTTGGTCGGCTGGGGGAGGGACCTTGGGAGATTGGCTGTGGGAGGGCACTGACCACCAGGGTGCAGCTCCTGCAGTGAGCGTCTGCCCCCTGGTGGTCAATGCGTGTCATAGCGACCAGTCTACGGGTCGTTCAGTTGCTTAGGTTTTTATATATATAGATTCTCCCTCTTAATTTGAATTTTATTTTGTATTCAATTCATAATGGTAAATTAATAATAGCAGTTATTTCTGATAAAGCTGTCAAAATCAATATACTGATTACCCTTCATTTTTAAAGATGCCACTATAGATTTCTGTTGCTCTGTGACAGGTTTGATATTTTAAGTGTCGGTTAAGCTGCAACACACTAACTGGGCATTCAGTTGAATCTTGTTTTATGATGCATATCGTCTGTGTTTTTTAATGGTTATAATCAAAACTAAAATGTTGACGGTTATGATTGGTATGTCAATCTTTACTCCTGTATTTTATATTTCATATTTTATTTATTTAATCTGTATTTCTTTATTATAAGTAAAAATACTGAAACAACAGTGAAGATAATAAATAAATCTTCATCATGCAAACATAATTAGAATAATGCTGCATGTACAGAAATATATATGGTCTTTTCCCTGGGGAGGCAAGAAGTGGTCTGTTACAAACCACCACCCTCTTCTATTTCCACATGAAAGTAGAAACCATTAGTACATGATCATCAAGAGCATTTTTCTTTCAAAACATGCTCACATAATACCTAGGAGGTCAACTGTAAAAAATGAAAAGTGTATGATCTGTCAGTGAATAAATATAAAAAAGGATTTGTATTGTTCAGTTTTGCTGAAACAGTATACTATTATTTTCAATTTAAAAATCATAGTTTTCTATTTGGCAAAAGTTATCATTTGACCTTTAAGTGTTAAGACAGGACATTTCCCCCCAAATAGATTTTTATGTAAAATAACACAGAAGAATGTTGCAACAAAAGTCTCTATGTGGCCCTAGCCAGTTTGGCTCAATGGATAGTGTAGGCCTGCAGACTGAAGGGTCCCTGGTTCGATTCTGGTCAAGGGCACGCACCTGGGTTGTAGGCTCAAACACCCGGCCCTGGTTGGGGCAGGTGCGGGAGGCAGCATGTCAATGTGTCTCTCTCACATCAATGTTTCTCTCTCTTTGTCTCTCCCCCTCCCTTCCACACACTCTAGAAATCAATGGAAAAACATCCTCAGGTGAGGGTTTTTTAAAAAAAGTCTCTATCTGGAGTTACACTCCGAAAGGTCTGATTCCCTAGGATGAAGGCATCCATGCATCCAAAACAAAGCTATACCATAGTGTTGGATAGCTCCTAACAGTGTTATTTTTTATCTGGTTCTATCACACAATTCTTTGAACAAAGTCCTCAGGGATTGTATTATTCATCCTTGAAAACATTTCTTATAAATGTACTGCTTGCTCTCATAGTGACAGAGAAAGGCCCTTCATAAGAATTTCCTTCTGCCATCAGAAGAAAGCATTCTCACTACTCTAGAGCATTGCTCAAATATCCCAAACACACGAACGCCCATCTAAATGCCCAAACCTCGTATCCAAAACGATACACTGTAAAACCCCAAAGACTTTGAAATACAAAGAAACAAGGCTGCCACTCCTGTAATTCCTTCAGCAATTATTTACCAAGTCATTGAGTGACAGGCACTGATGGTACAAGTGATGAGACACTGTCCGGTGCTCACACCGTGAGACACACAGGCCCAGGGCAGACCCAACACCACGCACCGCTCCGGCGGGAGGGAGGGAGGTGTCCGGGAAGCCGGCTCCCTCTTCAGAGCGCAGGGCAGAGGGCGG